TAACATTTAGAAAAAAAGCTGATAAAAAGCAATCAAATATTAATTATACCACCAAAATGATCTAAATTTAGAACTGCTCTGATTTGTGGATTTTAATATATTTCAAATTATAAAATTTCTAAATGTTGCTCTTATTCTATTTTGGTTACATGTTAGTGAAGATGCCTCTAGTCACAAAGACATATTTTAAAATCCAAGCAATAAGTTACAGAAGTTTTTTAGAAAGCAATTGCCAGACAGCTGCTATTATATAGTAAGTACAATTTCTGAATCATATTATAATGTTTCCTTAAAAATATACAATATTACGGAGTCGTGGTGTGTCTTCTGATATTCTATTCCTTGGAACACAAAATGAGACACACTGGATAAAATTATAGACGTATGTTGAGGATCTGGTTGACAATCCCAAGTCAGCAGAGCTGACACTACACAATGTTGCACAAATACTCTTCTGGGCTTCATGGACTCACTTTGTTCCTCCAAAGGATACTAACAGGTTTATATAATATGTAATAAACATGGAAAATATATGCTTTTGAGTCCTTACAGAAAGACGTCAGAGTTATAGAATGGAATCACCACGGTAAAATTTCAAATAGGGTTCATGGCATACTTTTCTTATCTAAAAGGTTAAATAAAATTCTCAACATATATGATCTCACCTTCAAAAAATGCTTCCTTGTTCCATCATCTTTTCGTCCTTTTGTTAACTTCTTGTAAAAGTAAATAATATTGACAAAGCTATTTATCTCAAATTAAAATCTTAGATGCATTTTTACTTCCCTTCTCCTGTTTCTCATTAGTGCTATTGCCCATTCTACCCCCTCAATGATGCTTTATTGCCTACCATATCAAGATGAGACTTAGCAGCCTGACACTGAAGTCTGTGAGATGCCTGCCTTAGTGTTTCCACTTTATGGTCAACTACTTCTTTCACTTGTCCTAAGACATTTTGCTACTGTGTCTTGCTCATATTGTTTTGTCCCTGGAAAGCAAGCCAGACTCTTTACCAAGCCTGTAAAATTCCATCTATATACCATGAAGATTTCTGTCCATTCAACAGTACTTTCTTCCTCATCTAAACTAAAGAACTTTACATTTTCATGTAAACATCTCGCATTCATAATTATAATATGGGGTATAAGTATGTGCACACACATGCGTGAGTGTATGTCTAGTCACAGTTATTTTCACATAGCCAATTATCTGATCAGAGGTCTGAATAACCTACTACAGTTCTTTCAAAATGAAGATAAAAACATAAATTATTAAAATGTAGAATGCTGTCAAACATAAGCTAATAAATTATATTCCTGCTTTTTCTTATACCAGTAAACAAATCGAAACTATTTCTGTGATTAATGTTTATAGATTTTTTAATCTTACCATTTAAAAATGAAACACATAGACCAGAAACAGCCACCAAGCAGTTAAAAATCAATTACCTTTGCTTGCACTTTCTACATGTTCTAGTTCTTCGGGAAATTTCAAGATATCTCTGTAGTTTTCCTCACAAATTTCAGCAATAAAATGCAAAAGTGTTGTCTTTTGATCTGCTGATTTAGTATCTTTGATCTGGAAGGGAACAACATGAAATCTTTTAGTAATTTGAATAGACTTTTTTCTTAAACAAATGGAACAAATGAATGAGTGAATTCAATTCATTAAAACTCACTTAAAATTTTTTTCTTAATGGGGTCTAGTGGCAAAGCTCTGGATTTTAAAATGTGCGTATTTTAAAAGTGAGAAATATGACCAATAATAGTATCAAATTAAAGCTAAATGTATATTTTCAAAAATGCCTGCATCATTATGGCAAAATGAACTATTCTTTTCATGAGAGAAGAACATTCACTTAAGTATTTATAGTAATAGCCCAAGTTAATGTGCATTTATGTTAGCAACATTCTGTTCTTTGCTGTATTACAAAAATATATTCTTGAAAGTTGGATTCATTTGTGAAATTATATTTATTCCTAGCCATCACTGATGCAAATTAATGTAAAAGAATACACACATTTACCCTCTACTTGCATGAGCCACTAGAAAATAATTCTCAAGGTTGTTCTTATCCAGAATTATAAAAATAATCTGACCATACAGTTGTGATAATATAAAATTTTTATTTGTCTGCTTATATACTGTATTTCTATTTCAGACATACTAGAGAAAAGATTCCACAGTTACAAAAATAAAAATCTTAAGAGTAGGGCCAAAAATACACATGATGAAAATCTAATGTTTCCTTTATTATAACTCAGACTAAGCTGTAAATGAAATCAGGATTTACTCAGAAGTAAAGCATAAATAGAGCACAAATTATCAAGTTTTCTCATTCTGTTGGATGTTTAAATTCTATAATCCTTAGATGATGGGTTTGTCGACTGATGTTCATACTGATTCAGCGTTTTTAGCTTTAAGGATTACTCTGTTTAGAACAAATGAATATTCTTCATAAACAGGTTTAAGAAAAGGCTGCAGAGGATATTTAGGTAATTACAGAATAAATTAATCCTTATTGTTTTAGGAACTAAGAAAGAAAAATTCATAGCATTTAATAATCAGAACCATACTGAATCTGTTTTGTATTACAGCTCTTAACAATTGTTCACATTCAGATGATATAAACAACTTAAAAGAAATATTAGACTTAAGGCTAAAGTAAACAAATGGCCACAGAATGTATAAGGTTGATAGTTCAATTGTCATAATTATTTCTTTAAAAATTTTTAGGATTACCTTATCCCATATAGGTAAAATATTTAAAATTTTGCATTATCATATTGATCTGTTAAATGCTTTTCAATACTATAAGGTAGTATTACACTATTGAAGGATAAGCTATAAGAACGACAACAAAAAAACACAACATAAACATCAAGGGCAATTTGTCTTAAGTAAGCTAGCAGCTGTAGATGAATCCATGGGAGGTTCTCACTCCTAAAGAGAGGTCTTTAGCTGGGATTATTGTGTAATATGTTCAAAAAGTGCATCATTTCCAGAATGTGTGGAACATTTAAAATAAGAAATTTAACATTTTCTTTTTTCTTATAAATTGACTAACCTGATCTTAAAATCCTAAAAATGTTAGATGCTTTGAGAAGTTTCAGGTCCATCTTCCAAAAGAAAGGAAATCTATATTTTAAGAACTATATGGAGACCAAAGCAAAAATAAAAGCACTACAATATGAAACAACAATCAAGACCTGTCTAGTTCTTTGTAGAACAAATCATACAAGTATATTATTGTTTAAAAGTGCACAAAAATAACACTGGACAGGAAACATGGAATTAGAAAAAAATGGCATTGAGCTCATATGTCAATTGTGTGGGTGATATTCTTTTCTTATTTTCTTGGCGGGTGTTATGTTACACTAAAAACTTCAGATTTTGGTATGCATTCTTTTTTTTTTTTTTGTTACCAGGGATTGAACTCAGGTCCTTGCGCTTGCGCAGCAGGCGACGAAACTTGGTATGCATTCTTAAAGTGTTGCATTCTCAGAATTTTAATTAATAACATTTATTCAGTATCAATGTCATACAATTTAATTTCTATTATGTAATGTAGTAGAATCAATGGCTACATTTGAAAAAGAAATAATAACAATTTATGTTTGATGAAAACACAAAGGTTTATTGACAGAGTATGTATTTTTTTAGGATTATAATTTTCCCTTCAAAAAACAGATGAACATGGTCAAACACATGCCTTGTCAAGCTGAGAAATAACCTAGCTGGTCTGCAAAACAAAATGTTTAATCCATAGTGTAATAACATTCATTTAAGTGTTTATGTTTTAAAAAAATCCTTAATACTCAATAGTCCATTTTAATGTTTAAAATTGGCAGAGAATCATGATAAAATGATCTTTTCAATCTTTCTCTCTGTGTGAACATTAGATCAATTTTAAAAAAAATAAATACATAATATATAATAGAAAAGAAAGTTTCCTTAGTGAAGTGTATTTACTTTGTATTATTAAGTCTTCGGTCTGTCTTATTTAGTCTTTCTTGCTGGCCCAATTGTGTAGTTCATTATTAGCACAGAAGGCAACTAAAAACATTTACTTTCATCAATTCTTCTAGTTAATGAGATTTGTCCAATAATTTGGTCTTGTACTAGATATATCTATCTACCCATCTATCCATTTATCTATCTAAAGTAGATAGGTATCTAGAGATAGATATATAGATAGAATGTATATCAAGGTAGAACAAAAGTAATCTAATGTATGTACAAAATCATTTCCAAAATGCTGGGGTTAGTTTATTAAGTAATAAAATTGATTTTAATTTGGTATCTGATTAACTGGAAACTAGATTAAAAATTTGATATTACATCAAATATCCAAACAATACTCGCCTGCATTGCCTATGTCTCACTGATAACTATAATTTCAGCATTTCAAAGTTTGCTCTAGGTAGAAGCAAAGTGCTTTTTGGTATCCCTGCTTGAGATTTTCCTCTCTTCTCACCAGGCGGTTAGGTAGGGCATGAAACAGATACATGAATTCTTTGTGAAAGATATAGAAGGATGAGTAAAATGGTCATTCTACAATCCCCTGCCTCACAAATATTTTCAAACAATAAAAACACAAACAGCAGTTTCAGAAATCAGTAATACTTGCAAAAGCTAAAAACTGTTATTTTAATAAGCTGATCAATGAATAACAATGACAAAAACAGTCACTGTAAAATGACAAAGTGTCATCAGTTAATAAATAATATAGCAGGGTTTTTTTAGAGTAAGAAATTTTGTTGGGGAACAGGAATAGCTCCTGAGAGACAGGAGGCGTCCCGAATGGGTTGCCCAACATAGCAGTTTTAATTGTAACCACCTGGCCAATAAATGTTACCTATAAACATTAATAATGGAATTTAAATTAATTTATTTTACCTAATCTTTACTAACTTCTGAAATATTATATATATGTACATACTTTTAATAAAACAATACCTATTTCTATAGATAGACATGATCATTTTGAAATAAATATGAATGATATATGATAAAAGATAATATTTATATTTTACATGTTTAAATGCATTACAACATTAGTAGGATAGCAAAGCATTTGAATAACTAATTGACACTAAAGAGATTTAATTATTCTAAATATACTCATTTAAGCCTGAAATTTATCAGTTTTGCTGTGTCTCTGAAATTGAGAAGAAACTAGCACATAGCTAGAGCCTGAGACATTTTAATGATCTATGTCAGTCACACTGTATCTTTCTGTGAAGGACCTCTTCTGGAGGTAATTTCCCTTCTGCTACAATTTAAGCCTATTTCTTCTTGCTCTGTTCTTAGTGAAAACTGAAAATAACTGGTCACGATCCTCTGTACAACCCTCTCACTAAGTCAGTTTGCTTCTCTTTTTTCCTATTATCTAAACTAAACAACCACAGTTAATTTAATCTTTTCACATAGTTACTATTCTTCAAGTGTTTAATTTTTTTTCTTGGTAGATAGAATCCATTCAAAATTTCCCCTGCAAAGTTTCCTGTCATCTACCATAGAAGCATACAGATTTCTTGGTTTTGCATATGAAGCCCCTCATAAGCTGGCATTTGTCTGCCTTTCTAATCTGCCTGCTTGGACTTTTGGTCTGATTACAATTGCTTAAACATATACCATGCAGTTTTATACCACTGTGCTTTTGTATAACTTGTTCTGTCTAGACGCTCTCCTTTCTGTCTATTGGCATGGTAAAGACCTACTCATATTTCCTACTTAATATACAACTACCACCTCATTTCTGAAGATTTTTCTACCTTAGGAGCAATTTAGGACTCTGGGGACTATGTTCTACACTGTAAGTACTTTAACACAGAAGTTTTTGCAGTTACTATGAGCTCATTCAAAGGCAAAGACCCTGTTTTCGTAGTATTTTTTTTTTTAATCTACAATATTTAGGAGAATGCTGGAACCTACTAAGCAGTCAATAAATGTTGTCTGAATGAAGATTTTTCTCTTTAAAAAATTCCCCCTTGTGTGAGTTATATAACAACACTTCTAAATGTAACTCTTGTCTTACTTTTTTCATTGATGAGACAAAATACATCATACCCAAGGCTAAAGGAGGAAAGTTTTATTGTAGCTCACAGTTTGTAGAGGTTTCAGTTCATAGTTGGCTATCTCCAAAGCAGGGTGGAATGCCAGAGGAGCATCACAGAGGACAAATGGTTCATGGTGGGCAGAAGGCAGCAAAGCAACAAAGAAGCAAGCAGCAAGTGATGGCAGCAGCCCTGTTTCTGTTCCTTATATTCTATTCAGGCTATATGCCCTTAGGGAAGGTAACACTCACACCCAGGGTGGGACACCCTTAACCCTAGCATGGCATCATTAATCCATTGTCACATCCTTTATCTCATCATCACACACCCTAGATCCAGCCACCTCCATAAAGCTCCACCTATGACTGCATGAGACTTTGGAGGGTCACCTAGATACAAGCCATAACAACTCTACTCTTGCTTTTATGTATATGTGTATACACACACACATGTGCAAATACAAACACACATGTACAAAGAGGGCATGGGGAAGAATCAAGAGTTTTCCAGGACACAATA